TATTGAAATTTGGAACCATTTATAACATAAAGTAAGGTAACAATCTCCTAGGAAATTCTTCAGCTCAGATTACTACAGCATAAAGCGGCCATACATACTGAGCGCTCAAAAGCAAAATAAAGATGTTTCTAAGCCGTTTTATGCTATAAGAAGTACACTTGTGAGAGCAGCCGAAGTTAACGTTTTCCATGTTTTCATAGATTTTAAATAACAGCAAACAATGTATATTCAGCTATAAAGACATAAATGCTGTTACAATGTAAGAGCATCCCTCAAGCCTGACCACACAGTTTCAACATACAACAACAAAAAAAATTAAAGTCAATCCAAATGCCCAGAAAAGATCCAATAAAAATATAATAAAATCTAGCGGAATAGCACAACGTACTGAAAATAACGTACGCGCCACAGCAAAGCTGTTGCCACCTACGTCGAATATGAATTTAAAGCTTTGCCTCGCATATAATTTATTCATAAGAATTCTGTGATTTTTATGGTAATATTCGCRCTGCGTAAATGAGCATGTCTTATTTACATACTCATACTTCCACACACAAAAAAAAAAAAAGCACACACACACATACACTCACTTTTTACTTTTGAAAGCAACAGCAGCAGCAGCCGGCGAGTCAATTAACAATGATAATATTTACGCAGAAATTTTGTGCAAAGTAGCGAAGCGCAAAAGCGTGATGGCGTTGGCACACAATGCACTCACACATGGATACTTAGGTGGATATATGTGTGTGTGTGTGTATTGCATTACAATAATACGTTTAATCCGCACTGAGGTATCAATTTTAAAACAAACAAGAAATTGGCAAAATAAATATGACAATTTCTTAAATAAACGGAATAGGTAAAAGATAAATAAAAGGCAAACCGAATTCAAGCGTAGAAAGAGCAGAAAATTGCAATATGAATGAGTTTAAGAAATGTGAAGCACATAGATTTTAGCAGTGCGACAATATACACGGCAGTGAAGCAGCAAACTGGGTAAAGAAAACAACGGTATGTGATTTGAATTTCTTAACCAAAGTAAAAAGAGGCAGAAAAAGATAGTTTAGTACTCATTTTGTAAAGGGAACTTTGTTAGCAGATAGATTGAGCATTTATCAATACAAGGACGGCTCTGAATAACTTTCGATTTAAAATGGTGTAAAATCAATATAAAATGAACCAGAAAGTTTTTTATATATTAAAACTAATATGAAACTGATATATTTCTGACTGAACGCTGACAATTGAAATCCTCTAGAAAAAAAAAAAAAAACAAATATAAAAATAATTGGAAAAGTATTATTGGCTGACCATCTTAATGTTTATACTAGTCGTAAGGTAATTCACATCTGGTTCATTTCACTGTAGGGTGCCTGTACAGGTGTGTTCGTATATACATATATAAATATATAATAAGTCGAGTGGCTGCGCAGGTTGACTGGCTGACTGTGATCTGGCCACGCGCTTCAGTCAGTTTACAGTGAAGAGCACTCAATCATAAAAGCCGGCAGTTTCCATATTATACATACATACATACATATYTCTTTCATTTGGTCTTATAATTTCGCTTTTAATGGAATGACGAGCACATGCAGGAGACTAAGCTGGGAAGAATTTTAAATGGAATGTGTATGTTTTAATCGACATACATATTACATATGTATGCTCATCGAGTCCTATGCAGAAGTCGAAAATTGGGTATCTGATTGGCTTGCTTCAAAGGACGAACATTACTATTAGCATAGTATCAATAAATGTCAGTAAGGTGGTCAAAATGCGTAAAAAGCAATGGTCAATACCCTCAATAGATTTTTTTTTTACTTTCCAGTTCAAAAGTGTGTTTCATTTTCACAAAAAAATTTAAATTGCTTTGACATTTCAGCAAGGGGAAAAAATTCTTTCTAAAATGTAAGCCATTGGTAGTATGCGGAAATCTTTTATCATAAATATAATTGATTTTTTTTTTTTTTTTTTTTTTTTGAAATTACCTGATTTTGGTATAGAGACTTTAGACCAGTTTTACCATTGCGGATGGCCTAAAATAATATCTTTTTTATATAGACCACATCAAACATGGAGGCAACTCGAATATAAAGAGTTTCCCAAAAAAAGTATACGCGAAAAAAATCATTTTCTCATTTTCCCACCAAAGTAGAAAGCCAAACACAGTTTTCTTAATACGCTACCCTCTAACGCTCGTGAAACTAGCTATGATTACTTAAATATGGATTTTGTTAGAAATGTTTGTTCGAGCCACATATGGCATTATAGTATATTCAACCAAATCCACACACTAATTACCTGAACAACACAGGCACCTCAAGTTGGCAACCAAAAATGATATTTCACCGGAAATACGTTAATTTCCTTTTCAGCTTACGAGCACATGTCATAAATATGAACTCAAGCCATTGACATTTGGCTCGTTTGCTGTCCTCACTGAGACAGTAAATATGAAATCCACATAACTGAGTACATTTGGTTTTACATAACTTGCTTAACATACAATATACCAGCATTAACATTTAACCATGTATACGCTGCATGTCGAGTACCTGAGATTGTGACTAAAAGCAAAAGTCGTAACAAGAGAGATGAGCGTGATGAAGCACACATACATACATGCATGCATATAAATATACCGACTTMTTGCTGTGCCACTCACCGGAAAATGCATTTCCAGTTAAAATGTGCCTTACTGTCAGCAAATATGAATATGATTTGCGTCAATTGAATTTTCAGTCAAGGTAATGGTGAAAAATACGGACGTATGCAAAGAGCCGGAAAGTCGGTAAGAATTTACAGAGAAAAACCGTAAAAGTCAGTAATGCTTTTGCATGAGTTCACTAACGATAAGTGAATCACGGCGAAAGATAACAAAAGAAACTATGAATTTCCTGTTAAAGCATGCAGGCGTGTAAGCATATGAAAGCTTTGAAGCTAGGTGGTTTTACATATATATGCAGCAAATAGCATTTCAGTAATATATTCTATATAGCTTCATTTTTTAACATTTCACACCATATATTTTCAATATATAATATAATATAAGCCAAAACATTTGAACGAAATTATGAAAACCGCTGGAACTTTTTTTTGAATTATTGTATGAAAGCTCCAAGTGAAATGTTTGCAGATGTTATTTTATATTTTTAACACACCATATGTCATAATTGGCTATACAAATTTTAAAGAAAGCTGTGAAAGCTTTTTGGATTTTTATGTGAAAGTTCTTATTAAGCTATATTCAAAAAATTTTGTTGTGTATTAGGTAGTGTAGCTCAGTAATTTTAGAGAAGATATGATTATTTATTATAAATAAATTATTATATTAAAAACTGAATGGAAATTTAGTGGACTTCGGATGACAGTTTTAAGAAAAACGACCTCAAAAAATATTTTTATGTTATAGTGCTTCAATTTTTTAGTATGTATTTCATATTAAGCTTATCGTTAACTATAAAGCTTTTTGAATTTTTCGATGAAAGTTCTAAGCAATATATTTTCGGATATTATTATATATTATTAATACTTCTCTAAATATATTTTCAACACATAATTCGCTATAAAAAATTTAAAGAAAAGCTTCGAAGGACTTATGAATTTTTGTACGAAAGCTCTTTGGAAACATTCAAATAAACTTTCGGATGAATGCTATAAGAACATAAAATATCTTCAAACATATTTATTTGTCATTGCGCTCCAT